CAGCGGTGCGGGGGCCAGCAGGTGCTGGGTTCGGGGGTTAAGCAGGGGTGGCTGCTGAGCGCTCAGAAGCTCCCAGGCTGTGGGTGTCGTTTCAGTGTGCAGCACATGCGGGTTTTATTGCACTGTGTGACTTGTTGCTCCTTGGAGGATTCCTCCACAGTTGTGCTTCCAGCTGTGCTCGTTCCTTGCCCTCCCAAGGAGCTCCAGACAAGCGCTGCGAGCTGGTCCTCTCCTTTTACAAACAGTTATCTTTTAGAAAACAAGAGGGACGTGGAGCTGCTGGAGCGAGGCCAGAGGAGGCCCCGGAGCTGCTGCAAGGGCTGGAGCAGCTCTGCTCTGGAGCCGGGCTGGGGCAGCTGGAGAAGAGAAGGCTCCTGAAGGGGACACCTTAGAGCAGCTCCAGTGCCTAAAGGGGCTCCAGGAAACCTGGAGAGGGGCTTTGGACAAGGGCCTGGAGGGACAGGACAAGGGAGAGATTGAGATGAGCTCTGAGGCAGATGCTCTTCCCTGTGAGGGTGCTGAGGCGCTGGCACAGGGTGCCCAGAGAAGCTGTGGCTGCCCCATCCCTGGCAGTGTTGAATTAGTGTTGAATTGTTGATTAGTTTGAATTATTCACTTGTCCCACGGGGCCAGGAGCTTAAACAGGCTTAAAGCAGTAAAACTGCAAACAACGTGTCTTGAACCTGCTTGCCTGCAGCATTAAACCCTCTGCCCTCAGACAGGAGAGCGTCTGCTCTTTTAAAAGTTCATGGAGAATGTGTTCCCTGGGTATTTCAAAAGGAAAACTCATGTGGAATGGTGGCTTCTCCATTGCCACATAGTTTTTCCAGTACTGGAACCAACTGTTCCATGTGAGGGTAGTCCTAGGCATTGCTTTAGAAGTGACTTCTTTTTTTTAGTGTAGTTTCAGCCCTTGTTTCTTCCTTACAGTAGCTTTTCAGGAAGTGAAACACAGTTATACCACTTTCAGCCTCTTTGTCTAAAAGTTCTGTTTATTCAAAATGAAATAGCTAATTAAGATAGAGCTGCTTCACGTAAATCCCTGTGCTTATTTTTGAAGTGATGGTAAGCACTTTATATTTGATATAACTTAGAATTAATGGTGTTTGTTATCTATAAAGCCAGTATTAAATAAGATGAAGTAGTTTATTTCTCTTTCTAGTGCCAGATTGGCCTCTCTCTTTGGTCTGGATCAAACAGTCTCAAGCCATGGAAATGAATTCTTCCAGTACACAGCACCAAAGCAGCCTAAGAAGAGCCAAACAGCAGGTGGTGAGGAACTGGGCTTGGGCATGAGGAAAGAACTTGGCAGCATGTGTCTTGGTGGCTGTTTGTGAAGAACACTCGAATAGTGTGCGCAGTTCTGGGCCCCTCACTACAAGAGAGATATTGAGGTGCTGGAGCGGAGCCAGAGAAGGGCACCAGAGCTGGTGCAGGGCCTGGAGCACAAGTGTGATGGGGAAGGGCTGAGGGACCTGGGGGGGGTTAGTGTGGAGAAGAGAAGGCTCAGGGGGGACCTTATCGCTCTCTGCAACTGCCTGACAGGAGGATGGAGCCAGGAGGGGTCTGGTCTCTGCTCCCAAGGAACAAGGGACAGGACAAGAGGAAATGGCCTCAGGCTGCACCAGGGGAGGTTTAGATGGAGCTGAGGAACAATTCCTTGCCCAGAGGGTGCTCAGGCACTGGAACAGGCTGCCCAGGGCAGTGCTGGAGTCACCGTCCCTGCAAGTGTTCACACCCCATGTAGCCGAGGCCTCAGTGCCAGGGGTTAGTGGTGGCCTTGGCACTGCTAGGAATGGTTGGACTTGATGATCTTTTCCAACCTGGTTGATTCTATGATTCTGTGAACAGCAGTGCAAATAATCTTTTTAGTTTTCTTGTTTGATACTATCCTCCAGTACCTGTGTCTACTCTATGGCCACAGGTACTTTGGTGACTTTGGAACATTACTCATTGGTGTTGGGGTTTTCTTAATCTTCTGGAGTTGTTTTTCCTTGTGGGAAGGAATGTGTCATGGCATGGTGGCTGTTCTGTCTCACTCATGCTGTCCCTGCTCTTGGTTCCTCAGCAGGCCAAGCAGCCCAGAAGGCTCCTGTGGCCCCAGCAGCTTCAGGAGCTCCATCTGTGTTTGTGGCCACTGCGGTTCATGCTTATCGATAGTAAGTGCAGAGATGGTTTCCTGCATGACCTGTTAGTCTGCATCTCTGGGAGCTGAAGACCTAATCAGAGAGGGAAGATATTTTTGGATGAGTGGGATAAGATTCTGTTTATAGACATGTATCTGCATGGCAGTAATGCTACAAATGGATGCAAGTTTCTGCACAAAACCAAGTTCAGTTATTGTGCTGCAGTCCTGGGTTATGCAGTTGTCAAATAAATAGCAAGTTTTTTATTTGGCTATTAGAGGGAACTGCATCATGGGGCATCAGCCTGACATTCACACTGTTCCAGGCAGCTCTGTCAGACGCAATGTCTTACGTTCCCTTGTGCAGAACTGAGGCCTGAGCACAGAGTGACAGCAGTAAAATCCTCTGTCCAGTTGACACTGCCACTCTGTGGAAAAACTCATTTTCCCTGGATCTGTGGAAAGAGCAGTTTTCAACTGAAACTCTGTAACGTATGCTCCTGTGATCTGTGGGCAAGCAAGAGAGGTGTAATGTTTTTAAGCTAAGAAAGACTGCCTGATGCTTGAGGCATGAGGATAAGAGACTTGAACTTTAAAGAAAAACTCAGCAGCAGTAGAGAGAAATGTGAGGCAGGGATGGTTCCACAGCTGAATATCTCACTTGTTTTCCAGTACAAATGGGCAGTACTTGAAGCAAGGCAAGTATGGAGCAGCTGTAGTGGGGAACCACGCCACTAAAGAGGTGAGGAACACTTCACTCCTTCAATGTTTTCATGTTGAGAGGGCACTCATATGGGGTAGTGTTTCTCTGAACTCACTGGAATGCCTTTGCTTTTGATGTTGGAGGTCTGGGTTCCAATTCTGCTTCCACCTCCTGGCCCTCCTGGCTTTCTTAGGGCTCAGCCATTTGCCTTGGTGGCATCTTTCTTTTCTGTGATCAACAGATTTGTAAGATCTTTTACAACTTGTGCCTGAGATATTTTGATGTGTTCAGTGCAGGTGCATGAAGGAAAGTGCTTTTCCTTAGTAGAGCCAAATATATCAACATGATGCTGCATCTGCATTGTTTAGCACTTGGAAAACTCCCTCTTATTACTCAATTTATTACACTGGCTTACGCCTGTATGGATGTATTGTGGTTCTGTGTATTGAAGGGATAGTGCACCATTCTTTTGCACAGTAACTGTGACAAATGTGGAATTAGTCAAAGCATCTTGCTTACTGCGTAGAAATTAGTTTGACTTGCTTGATTCCTGTAGCTAAATACAGCTTGCACATTTTCAATGGGATTTAAGAGGTGTTACAAAATTGCATTAAGTATTTTTGCTGTGGATAATGCTGCTGCTGGGTGTATTTGACAAATAAGCACTGTAGCCTTAGGCTCAGAATTTGATCAAGCATGTGAGAATTGAAGACATTTTGAGTTCCTGCTTTTTGTTCTTTTCCCCTGCCCAATTCCTTGTGGAATCCAGTACAGGCTCCTCCTTTACATCAGTCAGCAGCAGCAGATCACAACTGCAAGGATTCATCCAGGCTTTGTACTCACGGTAAGACTGTGGATTGGAAAAGCATTCATGGATCCATGTCATTCACAGCAAACAGAAGCTGACTCTGAAATACTCAAGTCTTAAGTTTATAGCCTTTGAGATCAGACATCTGACATGGCAAGAGGTGTCCTGGTGACTGGGAGCACTGTTCTTCTCCTCCCTGTATTGCACAAGGAATCATTACATCTACCTTTTGCAGAGCAGTAGATTTCATAATGTGAGTTCATCTGCTGTGGGAGGTGTATTATTACCTCTAGATCATAGAGGAGGTGTTTTGAGTTTTGCAGTCCTACAGTGGATAGAAACAGAACAATTCCTTTTGCTAATAACTTGTAGTTAAGTGACTGAGCGAATGCAACTGAGCAAGCAGAAGGAAATGTTTTCTCTCAGAAACTTGCTGATAAGAACAATTTGGAGCATCGTAGGTCCTAAAATGGGATCTCTCAGGAAGTTCTGTTTTCTGCCAGCTTTACAGAGAATTGGTGTGTTGATTTGGTGCTCTCAGCTTGTCATCAGGTGACATGAAAAATCTTCATTTGATAGACGCAATTTTACTCTGAAATTGTAGAATTTCAGTCCAGATATCTGCCCAAGGTGGCAGCTTGCTCTTCAGGCTTTGTAAGTGCATTTTGGGTTCTGTAGTCAGCTTCCGGTGACATGGAGTTTTAGAATCAAGGAAGGAGTGACTCCTCCAATTGATTGTGGAATTCTAAATATAATCAATACTTTTGGAAAGTAGATTACTTCTACTTAAAAATCTCAGCATGTATTATATGACCTAGGTTCAGAGAACCTTGTGAAAGCTTTCACCAGCTTGTGAAGGCTGCAGCATCTCTAATGAACTTAATATTTCCTCATGTATTTGAGTTATAATAATTCTTCCAAGATAATGAGCACATAAATTAAAGCTATTCTGTGCATTCAGAACTTGGGTAGTAACACAGCAGGATTCTGCCTCTGCTTAATTTTAGTAGCTCTTATTTTAAGCTTCTTTGGGATGTGGATTTTCTTTAATTTATTTCAGTTGAATGCATCATTTAGTGTATAATATAAGACTGATTTCCTTTCCCACAGGTCCAACCCAACAATTACAGTACGTTCTATGATGATCAGAGACAAAACTGGTCCATCATGTTTGAGTCAGAAAAGGCCGCAATGGATTTCAGCAAGCAGGTAACTACTGTGTATGAGGCAGGGTTTGCTGCCCTGTTAGAACAAAAGGCAATTCACACCTATCTGAGAGCACCTTATAGCTCGAAGGCTCCAAGTTGGTTGTACTTTTACATTGCAAGTTCAGCCTTGAGTATCTGGGTGGCTGTTGATGGTGGCAGAGCTACCATGAGCCAGGTGGTGTTTTAGTGTTAGATACATGCCTCTGAGTCAGGGAGCCTGTTACTTCTGGGGGGATTTTTGATCCAGGTTCTTGAGTACTATAAGACCAATGGCTCTGTAGAGGAGAGGGTATTTACTCAGCAAAATTCAGCACAAAGAAACACGGAACGCTTCAGAGCTGCAATGAGTCACAGTGGAATTTGTCACTTTGTTTTAATGACCAGAGACTTTCCTTCTGCAGGTGTGCATTGCCAAGTGCAACAGTTCCCCTGTCCTGGATTCAGTCCTCTCCCAGGATCTCCTTCTTGGAGAGGGGCAGGGAGCAGAAGGAGGAGACTCTCTGGAGGTTGCCTATACGGGTTGGCTGTTCCAGAACAATGGGCTTGGACAGGTAAAAGCATTTTTGCTGCTTCTTAATACTGAATGTGACAGACCCTGGAGGGAACCTGCTGCATCAAGCACAGTCTTGGTGCTGATGGTAAAGGGATTTTGTCAGTTACTTATGGCACCATAAGTGAGGTCCTAAGTGTTACCTATAGAATAATAAGGGATCTCGTTACTGTTCAGGAGGAGGTGATTGACATTTAACTGTCATTAATATTAATGTGTGAGAGTACCTATGAAACTGGTGAGAACAGACAATGAAGCCAGCTCTGCTCTGCTGGAAGCAGCTTGAGGAAGTGGTAAGAAGGGTCTTGTCTGACATGAAGCATATTTCCAACTATTAAAAGAATGAGAATGCTTTCACATCCTCCACAGCTGTGTCCAGTCCACTTTGCTAATAAACAAATGCTTTGACATTCCAAAGCATTACTTTTAAAACACTTCTGCTGGCAAAATTCAAAGCAAAGGGTTTTGTATTTGTATCCATCTGTGGCTGAATCTTTTTGCTATAAAAAAGGGCTTTCTGTTTCTCATTTTTAGGGGATTTTTTGTTTTTCTTGGCCTGCCTGCCATGCCTCACTCTTATGTAATAATGGTACAGAGCAGAGCCTACTTCAAATCTGAAAAAGTTGTTCAGCTGCATAGTTTAATTTGCAAAGATGAAGTATAAAGAGCTGCTGTTGTAGTTTAATGTACAAAACTAGACAGTTGTTTGCTACTTGATAGAAGCCTCTTGTGTGGTGTTCTACTCAGCCCAATCCTGTCCTGACTATCAAGCTCAGAACAGTTGAAACATCTGAGTTTCCAGCTATTGTTCGCTATAAGAAATTGTACTGAATTGCACTGGAAGCTGTAGCCATGCTCTGTCTTACGTCTGTGAATTAATTTTGGAAGTAACAGAATGGGAAATAGCACTTAAGAGATTGTAGGAGTTTATGAAATGTGTGGAGTTCAGAGTCTTGAAACAGTTGGGAAATCCATATATTCTGTGTCTTTGTTTTTCAACTCTCTAGGTGTTTGACTCAAATGTTAACAAAGACAAGCTGCTGCGCCTAAAGCTGGGATCTGGAAAGGTCATCAAGGTAGAACTTCTGGCACTTTCATTATAACAGCTGAAGTCTGAGCTTTGAATTACTGAAGATCTTGTTCAGGATTCTTTATTTTCTTCTTAATCTGCACAATATAGCCCAGTCTCCTCAGTGGTGCTGTTAGAAGTTGTCCTGTTTGATAAAAAAGAACCTTCCTGTTTTCAAGAGCTGGGTTTTTTCAGTTGTCTTTTTGTTTTTCTGGAAGTCACTTAATTCATTACCTTGTTCTCAGGGAGTTCCATTTCTGAAGGAGAACTTCAATTTGGGAACAATTTCAGATTCCTTTGCACTGATCGTGCCTTAAAAGCAGAGTATCAGATAGCTCTGACTTACCACCTGGGGCAAGGGCATGGGAGAGTGAAGACAACTGACAAGTTCTTAAGATGGTCTAGTGAAGCATAGGACTAGGAGTGGTTTTACCCTCTAAATCATGTTGTGAGGGTTTTGACTGTGATAATTTTTCACTCCAGGTAGTGTGGTACTCCCTTGTCTTACTCCATAAAATCTGGTTGTGAATCAGAGATGATTAGAATTATAAAATCAGACTGGTTTGGATTGAAGGGACCGTAAAGCTCCTCCAGTTCCACTCCGCTGCCATGCTGGGAGCTGCTGCTTTATTCTGAAGTCGATGTTGCAATTTACAGCTGGCCATTATGTTTCATTGTAAGACAAAGGTTTAGTGCTGCAGACTGAAAACAAATATGATTTTATAAGAATCTCTATATGGGTTTTGATATCTCCTATACCCAGTGCCTGAAGCTGTCTTAATTAGTACAGTGTCATGTCACTGATCAAACTGTTTGCTTTCTGTTCTGTTGTGTTTCTGAAAACCAAAGGGCTGGGAAGAAGGAATGATGGGGATGAAGAAAGGAGGCCGAAGGTATCTCATCATTCCTCCAGCATGGGCATATGGAGCTCAGGGAGTGGCTGGCCGGGTCCCTCCAGACTCCACTTTAGTTTTTGAAGTGGAAGTGAGGCGGGTGAGTGTCTCCTGACAAGTGTTCATTTTACATCTACTTTATGGCTCTTGAGTGGTAGCGTTTGTCTGCAGGCTGAAAACCTGCTCTTGGTATGAGAACTGCAGCTCAGAAACTGTTATAAACCAAATACCTCAGGAAGATACATATCTTTAATTAAAAAAAAACAAAAGCCCCAAAAATCCCTCTGGGCTGTTTACTAAGACATGTCTGTTCTAACTGTCTTGGGTTCTTTTCATTGTCTTATTTGTGAGTCACTTGGGAAAACAGTACTCAGTGGGGAATACCAGGATGCAAAGACTCGGCTGCTCCAGTTCTGAATCAGTCGTAAACCCTTACTTGAAGGGGAAGGGGAACCAAGCCAAGTGCAAGGTCCTAGACCTGG